GGCAAAAATGTCTATTAACTGGCGATTGACTTCTGGCGCTCTGCTCATCCTACCTTTTCTCTGTCTTCATGTCTGTCTCGTTCATGTCTGTCTCTTCACATCTGTAAATCACTCTTTTGTTCTCCACCCCTCGACTTTCTGTTACTTTGATGTTCCTTCCCCCTTTGAAACCTCGACTTTCTGTTACTTTGATGTTCCTTCCCCCCTCTCGACTTTTTCTCACTTTGATGTTCCTCCTCCTCTCACTGTTCCCCATCCCTCGACTTTCTGTTACTTGGATGTTCCGTCTACGATTTTTTCTCACTTTAATGTTCCTCCCTTCTGTGAAGCTCGAAGTCAGCTAAAGGGCTAATGATAACTATCAAAACGCCGGCGAAGTCAGCTAAATGGCTAATGATAACTATCAAAACGCCTCCTGATAACTATCAAAACGCCTGTCATTTCTGCTTCTTTGATGAACCTTCCCTCTGTAAAGCCCGAACTATGCTACTTTGATGAACCTTCCCTCTGTGAAGCCCGTAGCTCTTTTTGTCACCTTGATGTTTCTCCTCCTCTCTATGAAGACCGAAGTCAGACTTTGATGTTTCTTCCACTCTGTGAAGCCTGAAGTCAACTGAAGGGCTAATGATAACTATCAAAACGCCTGCCATTTGAAACAAATAAATATACTTCCCTTCTCCAACCTCCACTATCTCGTGCATCTTTGATGCCAATTATGATTTTTCCTTTTTGGTTTTGGTTGGCGGCTTCAGCTTAATTAAGTATCTCAATGGAAATCATTCAACTTACCCGGGCAACTGTACACTAATAGCCATATAAACATTTCTTTTACCGTAAGGAATGCGGATAATTTGTCGGATGGTTCGTTGAATTGGAAATCTTTGCCTAGGTACTCCACTTTGGAATGTGTTTGTGTTCCGATTCTCCATCAATGCGTCAAATCGTAGTTGTAGTCTTACGTCAAAGTTACTGCAAAATCTGGCGTTGCAATGATGTCTGTTCAAAATGAAATGTTCACAAGTTGTGAACACAAATCACTCAAAATTGGCAAATCAATGAGAAGATAGGATGTCTTGTTTGATTAAATCCCACCAAAATATCAAATGTCATCATGCTGAGTTCACTGGGAGTCAGCGTAAACGGAATGTACTTGAATGTCCATAGAATGCAGTGAACTCTCGAAGATCCGGAGCTTAAGCTAACATGCAAGTGTGGACTAATGCATTTCATTCATTGAATTTGATGTATATGTGTGCATGTATTCAATCCAAAATTGTGAATGTGGGTTTATCTGACTTTGCTTTATTCGAAATCAATGCATATTTGTGTACAAGGTTTATTGCTATAATCAACTATTTATGCGTATTTAAACAACTTCATATCATTTTTAATGTACCAATAATGGAGGTTTGTCATTAGAGGTGAGATTCCTCTCAACGTGAGGAAATGGAATTGATCTGTACGAAATCCCACGGACTCGTCAGGCTTTCATTCTCCTCCATCATCTCAAACACAATTAGTTGCAATAGGGTCCACTTTTAATTCACTAATAAGAGTGAACTCAACTTGCTCTACTTTGTTACAAAGTTGAACGTATTTGCACGCAGTGACAAGCAAATTCCTCCTCCCAAATGCACTTGCAATTTGTACTACAAATTTTATAACATGATTTCAATGGACATGTTCTATGCTCAAGCATTAACATTTAGAGTTCACTCTGGGCAACGTATACTCATAAGGCAAAAAGTCTATTAACTGGGAGTTGACTTCTGACTTCAAACTGCCATGACCCCATTGTATGTCATATTCAACTACTTCACAGTACTCACCTCAACCTTCTTTACCTTCGTCTTTGAAACACTATTCTGTCCCTCCCCCCTCTCGACCATCTTTCACTTTGATGTTCCTTCCCCCCTGTGAAGCTTGAAGTCAAATAAAGGGCTAATGATAACCATCAAACTGCATGGCATTTAATAAAGTGCATTAAAGAACGCGGATTGTTAGTTAGCTGTAAAATTGACATAACATTGTCAAAATATCTGTCCAAAAGTTGAGCAGATCGGAAAAGAATGGACAAGTATCATTAATTGCTTCACCAAGGGTACATGGGTTCTGCTTCTTTTTTTCAGCTTAAGTGGTGGGTCAAGTTGGATAAATGATGTGATGCCTATTTCACAAGAGCTTCATTTAAAGCAGTCGCCTATGACGACAGAATGTCATGCATCTGCGTCCATGAAAGATCTCACTGATTTTAGTTGAGCTCAGGACAAGATATTTGGAGTGGAGAAGCTTCCACTCAACTTCTTCCACACATGCCTGGTGGAAGCAACCAACTCACGGAAAGTGACAAAACAACGCTTTTGGGCTTTAGAATAGGGCAAACAACACGTTATCTATTTATCTAACGAAGTCAATTTCTCATTAACTTCCTGAGGAGATGATACATTCACCTCTATTTCACAAAAAGGCATCGACTGCTTAAACAACTCTACTAAAAGCTTGTTCAAAAATAGTACACGCAAGGATATAATAGGAAAGATAGCACAAAATTCGGCTCCAGTGAAAGCAAAAGAGCCGCATTTATGGATTATGGCAATAGTGGGGCATACAAAACGCTTGATGCAAAGAGGAAGTAGAATGTGAGATAGTTGATTGAAGAATTCCGAAGGTCTCTATCTGGATCTCATAACAATAAAATTGAAGGGCGTGAGTTGGGTGAGTGTGTGATGGAGGCATGGAGGGAGGTTCGTGAAGAAATGTTGGAGAATTAATTCAAATATTTAGCATATTGATTCGTAGACGGGCAAATTGGAGGTCTCGTGTAAGAGAGAGAGGTAGGCTGACATCCATTTTCTCCAGGTGGAGACTGAGGTGGTCGAATACTCACATCTAGGGGAGTAGTTTGTTCTGGTGAAGTGTAATGAGGCGTGGGCTGTGCGAAAGGAGAGTCAGGTGCGAAGGCCGAAAACTGAGGAAACATGGTTGCGAGAAAAATGGCCATTGACTCAATTGTCAGAAAGGTAGAAATTTCCGCAGGTGACAATTGGACAAAATGTGGCATTCGCCGCATGTCTTCAGGCAAATTGGCTCTTGGAGCAGACGGAGGCTGGGACAAGTACTGAGGCGGATCGCATCTGTACCAAGCTGGTTTGAAGAAGAAAAAGCACCTGTTAAGTGGGGTTAAAGCAATTTTCACAATAACAATAATAACATTGACAATCGATCGCCTTCCTTTTTTCCGAGGCGTTCAAAAGGTTGTAATTTAAAAGCTGAACTAACATGAACGAGATGGAGCAGGAGGTAGGTTCACATGTTTTGCTGAACTATAATTTGACACTGCTGCAGACTCCTTGATAGAACTACCGTTTGCAAGATGATTAGGAGGCGATGGCGAAGAATTATTATTATTATTATTATTATTATTATCAGTAGTAGTAGTAGTAGAAGTAGTAGTAGTAGAAGTAGAAAATGGCAGTGAATTGGGTTGAAGGCTTTGAATTAGTAGGAGGCTTCCATTCGTTTGAGTTCCGTCTCCACTTCGTGTGGACTCGCAATTCCTCTCTCCCTCCACTCCCTGATTCAAGTTGCCAGAAGAATAAAAGGGGGTAGAATGTGGTGGTAGTGATGGTGTTGGCTGCGGATTTAAAGACGTCCATTGCATTCCGCGCTCATGACCATGGCCTCGATTTTCAGCTAGATTTCCTGCTGATTTGAAATTCTCCACTCGCAGGAGTCCTTTATTTGAATCTGCATTTGATCCATTAGATGAAGAGATATATGAATGGGAATCCGGAGAGCTCGTTTGGGTGCTCGATCCACTAGCTCGATGGTCATCTGGAAGAGAGGAGGGGGTTCCTTCCATCAATGCTTTGCATAGATTAGGAAAGTTGTCACTTATCGACATCTGATGAGCAAAACGATTCAGCAGTCAAGATGTAGAAGTGTAGTTAGAATGGTTTTACTACAAAGTGTGACTTGTGGGTCACTTTAAGTATAAGTCGGGGATACCCTTAAATACTCGACTAAGCAATTGGACAAACGAGGTGAACAGTGCAATGAGTAATCACATGCGTGACAAAATTTTCACCTCGTTCCAATTGATAATTACCTTCTCTACCGCAATACCAACTTATGACTCACCTACTGGATGGTGGACTGAAATCTAAGTTTAATTCCAATCCGATACATCACCCCAATTATATTGTTTTAGTTACTAATCGTTTGCCCTGATTATATTTAGTGCTTGCATCCAGTCAATGAGGTCTGCATAAAGTAGATTAATAAACCCTGAGACCAATTTGAAACATCGAAGTAGCGTTTGGACTCATTAAGTGAGTCCAGATTAAATTACGCAATCATTTGCCTCAAGGCTGACAAATTGCTATTTGTATCTGTGAGGTTCTTATTCTGGTCAAATTGCAGACATCATTTAATGAATACATCAACCTGAGGTGATCTCAATGCATAAGTTAAGTTTCATCATCCACTCATAGCAATGACACTATTCTCTACCACGTCAGCACTACTCCTCCCATTTTTTGAAAAAGAATCACAATTACGCTTTCCATCCAGTTGTGAAAATTCGTCACCTTAGATGATAATTTTTCGCGACCTGGCCTCAAATATGTAGCAACTGTCCTAACTCCTTTTTTTTCCTACTACCACAGTCATATATTTCACCTCATATCGAACCAGACCTCAATTGACCTTTTCGGCAGATTTTATCGTACTTTTGCAGCTGTGGAACCACAAATACCCCTCCCCCACCTCCCCCAAATCCCAACTACTCCATGATCCAAGTCAATTTGTTTATCATTCGCCTATTCATGAAAATTTCATAAGGAAATAATTTTAGATATGTTCACATGGATGGCTTTCCAAACTATGTATTAGAAATTAGCAAAATGATTCTTTCGGCATTTCTAGTTTGGGAAGAATTATTTTGGACCACATTGACAAATCCTCTACGCTAGTTAAAATGCAGTTTTGATATATTCCTGTCTCATAATAATACGAAGTGGGGTTGTTGAATCAAGTATCGACAATGTTATTAGTGGTGTAGTTTCGATTACTGATTCAATGCTTCTCTTTCGGAAGAAATTTTCCCTTTGAATGAAAGTTAACTTAGCGCACTTTGTCCCACCCCTTCCAACACCTATTGAACGGGATCCGGAATATGCAAGAGAACAATTTTCACTTGGTTATGGGCCTCGTAATACTGGTGTCCACAATTCATTACCATCATCATCAATTGACTCATCGCCAGATCCGACCCACACCCAACAACGCCCCTTAAGTTGCACCGACATTTTACCATCTCCTTCTTCTACTCTATCCAGTTAGTTTCCATTCTGCCAATTTTTAACAATTTTATTCATTCCCAACCTGTACTAATTGTTCTCCATTCTCTCATCTTCAGCAAGGACTACCAACGAAGTGACACATATGCCTTCTCAACCTTCTACTTTCGAACCTCTGAGTAGGGAACAAGTTCCTCCAAGCCAACTATGTCCATTCAATAATTTTCCTTATGGTACAGGAATATATCCAGAAGTTCCACCTCCTATTAAACAGGATATGGAATATGCGAGAGAACAATTTTCACTTCGTTATGTGCCTCGTAATATTTTGTTGATAACCATGCATTATATGTATGAAGCGCTCTTGCTTAGACTATGTGATTTTTCTCATTTTCGAGTTAATAGTTTATCAGGATCAAGAGGTGTAACCGCATTGAATCTCTGTTTCCAATATGACAAATATTTCTGCTCTGATTTGCCTCTTTGGTTAACCGTAACCATTGCGTTTCATGGTATTTTATGTTTTTTACAGAGACAACGCATCTGAACCAACCTTGCGTCAATTCAAATCAGGTGCCTATCATTCAACCTAATCAGCTCTCCAATGCAGTAGAGTTTGCTGCTCCTAACCAATATCCGATCGGAGTTCCAATCCAGAGTAGTAATGACCCGCCTTTTCTGGCACCATTTAATCCAAGTAAATGCCTTATTTCACTTTTCATATAGACATTATCACTTTATCTCAAATATATTACTTAGCACTAGCAATATACATGAGAGTTAGTCTAAAATTTAAAGTTTATATTTTCACGAAATTTTGAAAATTCGTATTCCATATTTCCAAATCAAGTTCCATTTGATTCTCCTCAACTTCAATTCTTCAACCAAGGAGAGCGGGTATTACCCAATTCTAGTCTACCTGTCCCCTCTTGTAATGAGATCACAAGTCCAGAATCATCCACAATTTCGAGACCTAGCAATTCTCGTGCACACCATCCATGGTGTTCACAATCAATCGATTCATCAACAGGTCCGACTCAACNNNCGTACAACGTCCCTTTAGTGACACTGACATTTTACCATCTCCTTCTTCTACTCAACCCAGTTAGTTTCCATTCTGATTAATAACTGTTTCACTCATATCCCAACCTGTAATTATAACTCTCCATTCTCTCATCTTCAGCAAGGACGACCAACGACGTGACACATATACCTTCACAAACTTCTACTTTCGAACCTCTGAGTAGAGAACAAGTTCCTCCAAGCCAACCGAGTCATTTTAATAATTTCCCTTATGGTGCAGGAATATTTCCAGGAGTTCCACCTCCTATTAGGCAGGATCTGGAATATGCTGAAGAACAATTTTTACTCCGTTATGGGCCACAGCGTCCTCCATTTCCTCCAACTCAGATGACTCCACATCACCCACCGAATCCGTAATCTTCACATGCTTACGAATTATTCTTTGCATTACAAGATTATGTATTGATATTATTTCAATTTTATAGATATTCGGATTAATTATTTTTAAGTTTTCTAAACAAAATTGTATGGCGCATGCATTTGAATTTTATATGATGTAAAATTCATACTATAAATTACACATATATATTCAATTTCCTGTTTATAAGTTGTGTAGCTGTTAGGAGAGGACACTCTTCTCACTTCACGTTTCCTTCTTCTACTCGCTGGAATCAGACCATTTTGTTTGATTTCACTGGACTGCAAATTGTTGTGCCACTTCTTCAACAGTTGTCTTGACATCTATTTCGAAAGGAAAGCAGATGTCACCCCGGGTAGGGAAGTAATGTCTCGAAATCGGAGTGACTGAAGAATTCGATGGCATCAACACAAATGGAGGAGCACTAATTGCCCCTATCGTGATTGTGACAAGGCACAAGAAGTTGGCAATAAGCTGAAATTAAGAAAAGTAAATAAGCCTT